GATTCAGGAATGCTTGTGTGGACAGTGGTGGTGATTTCTGCAGAATTGCTCTTGTACGGGACAGAAGACATGCTGGTGATCTCCACTCCAGTGGTCCTGTGAGCCGAGACTGTGGATAGAATGCGGCTGGGAGGGAGCGTTGCAGCAGAGGAGCTGAAGCCTGTACTGGGTTTCTCAGAGGAGAGGCTGGTGGTGGCATCAGAGAGGCCAGCAGTGGTGTCCAGGGTTGAGCTGGGCTGCTCAGGAGTGCTGGTGTGGGTCAGTGCTGTGGTCCAGGAGGAAGCCGTCTGGGTGGCCATCTCTCTTGTCTGAGAGGATGTTGGTATTTGTGTGGAAACTGTGCTGACCCCAGGGGTGGAGAGCATTCTCTCCTCAGCTGTGGTCACAGGAAGTTCTGAGGAGGCCAAGGGAGTAAAGTGGATTTTGGGGACAGAACTGGAGTCTTCTAGGGTGGACACTGTTGTGTCTGAAGATGCTGGACTTTTGTGGAGGCCTGAGGAGATCCAGGAAGCAGATGAAATGTTCTGTCCATTTGTCATCTGCCTTTCAGTCAAGGTGCTCACTGGTGTTGATCCTGTGTGCATCCCCTGCGTGGTGTCATGGAGAGTGGAGGTGAGGAGTGGGGTGATGGTCCCAGGGGAGGAAGGAGCAGGAGAAGGTGAGTCTGTGGGGCCAACAAGTGTGGAGCTCAGATGTGACACAGCTGGAGTTGGTGTGGAGGACAGGACTTCAGGGCTTGAGCTTTCTTGCATGGTGCTGTGTGAGTGGGGCAGGGTCTGGGATGCAGTGGGGAGGATGCTGGTGGCTGAGGCCATGGCTGCCGTGTCCCAGGCATGCGTGCTGTGAGATGCAGATGCAGGAAACTGTGTGGAGATAGTGGTGGTGGTTTCTGCCAATGCTGGCATGTAGGAGGAGGAAGATATCACACTCTTTACCCATTCAGTGGTTCTGTGAGCCATGACTGTGGATGGAGGGATGCTGGGAGGGAGTGTTGGAGCAGAGAAGAATCCTGTACTGGATTGCGCAGGGGAGGAGCTGGTGGTGGCATCAGAGAGGCCAGCAATGGTGTCCATGTTTGAGCTGGGCTCCTCAGGAGTGCTGGTTTGGGTCAGTGCTGTGGTCCAGGAGGAAGCTGTCTGGGTGGCCATCTCTCTTGTCTTAGTGGATGTTGGTATTTGTGTGGAAACTGTGATGACTCCAGGGGTGGAGGGTGTTCTCTCCTCAGTTGTGGTCACAGGAAGTTCTGAGGAGGCCGAGGGAGTAAAGTGGATTTTGGGGACAGAACTGGAGTGTTCTAGGGTGGACACTGTTGAGTCTGAAGATGCTGGACTTTTGTGGAGGCCTGAGGAGATCCAGGAAGCAGATGAAATGTTCTGTCCATTTGTCATCTGCCTTTTAGTCAAGGTGCTCACAGGTGTTGGTCCTGTGTGCATCCCCTGTGTGGTGTCATGGAGAGTGGAGGTGAGGAGTGGGGTGATGGTCTCAGGGGAGGAAGGAGCAGGAGAAGGTGAGTCTGTGGGGCCAACAGGTATGGAGCTCAGATATGACACAGCTGGAGTTTGCGTGGAGGACAGGACTTCAGGGGATGAGGTTGATTGCAGGGTGTTGTGTGAGTGGGGCAGGGTCTGGGATGCAGTGGGGAGGAGGCTGGTGGCTGAGGACGTGGCTGAGGTGTCCCAGGTATGCGTGCTGTGAGATGCAGATGCAGGAAGCTGTGTGGAGATAGTGGTGGTGATTTCTGCCAATGCTGGCATGTAGGAGGAGGAAGAGATCACACTCTTTTCCCATTCAGTGGTTCTGTGAGCCATGACTGTGGATGAAGGGAGGTTGGAAGGGAGCTTTGGAGCAGTAGAGAAGAAGCCTGTACTGGATTGCTCAGGGGAGGAGCTGGTGGTGGCATCAGAGAGGCCAGCAGTGGTGTCCATGTTTGAGCTGGGCTCCTCAGGAGTGCTGATGTGGGTCAGTTCTGTGGTCCAAGAAGAAGGTGTCTGGGTGACCATCTCTCTTGTCTGAGAGGATGTTGGTATTTTTGTGGAAACTGTGATGTCCCCAGTGATGGAGGTCGTTCTGTCTTCTGCTGTGGTCACAGGAAGTTCTGAGGAGGCTGAGGTGGTAAAGTAGGTGTTGGGGAGAGAATTGGAGTCTTCCTCAGTGTGGACTGCTGTGTCTGAAGTTGTTGGACTTGTGTGGAGGCCTGAGGAGACCCAGGAGGTGGCTGAGATGTGCTGTCCATTTTTAGTTGGTCTTGCAGTCCAGGTGCTCACAGGTATTGACCCTGTGTCCATTTGTTCAGTGGTGACCTGGAGAGTGGAGGTGAAGAATGGAGTGATGGATGCAGGGGAGGTAGGAGCAGGAGAAGGTGAAGCTGTCTGGCCGGCAGGTGTTAGGGGCCCTGTGGATTTCAGCTGTGGCCCAGCTGGAGTTGGTGTGGAGGACAGGCCTTCAGGGGATGAGCTTGATTGCAGGGTGCTGTGTGAGTGGGTCAATGTCTGGGATGGAGTAGGGAGGATGCTGGTGACTGGAGCCATGGAGGACATGTCACTGGCATCAGTGGTACTCAATGCAGTTGCCAGAGGCTGTGTGTGAACAGTGGTGGTGATTTCTGCAGAATTGCTCTTGTACGGGACAGAGGACATGCTGGTGATCTCCATTCCAGTGGTTCTGTGAGCTGAGACTGTGGATGGAGTGAGGCTGGGAGGGAGCTTCTGAGCAGAAGAGAAGAAGCCTGTACTGGATTGTTCAGGGGAGGAGCTGGTGGTGGCATCAGAGAGGCCAGCAATGGTGTCCAGGGCTGAGCTGGGCTCCTCAGAAGTGCTGGTGTGGGTCAGTGCTGTGGCCCAAGAGGAAGCTGTCTGGGTGGCCATCTCTCTTGTCTGAGAGGATGTTGGTACTTGTGTAGAAACTGTGCTGACCCCAGTGGTGGAGGGCGTTTTCTCTTTAGCTGAGGTCACAGGAAGTTCTGAGGAGGCCCAGGTGGTAAAGAAGGTCTTCAGGAGAGAACTGGAATGTTCCAAAGTGGACACTGCTGTGTCTGAAGGCGCTGGACTTGTGTGGAGGCCTGAGGAGACCCAGGAGGTGGCTGAGATTTGCTGTTCACTTGTGGTGTGAGTTGGATTCAAGGTGCTCACAGGTGTTGACCCTGTGTCCATTCCCTTGGTGGCATCATAGAGAGTGGAGGTGAGGAGTGGGCTCATGGATGCAAGGGAAGAAGGAGCAGTGGAAGGTGAGGCTGGGAGGCTGGCAGGTGTCAGGGCTCCTGAGGAGGTCAGATGTGGCCCATCTGGAGTTTGTGTGGAGGACAGGACTTCAGGGGATGAGCTTGATTGCAGGGTGCTGTGTGAGTGGGGCAGGGTCTGGGATGCAGTAGGGAGGATGCTGGTGACTGGGACCATGGCTGACGTGTCCCAGGTACTTGTGCTGTGGGATGCAGATGCAGGAATCTGAGAGTGGACAGTGGTGGTGATTTCTGCAGAAGCTGTCTTGTAAGGAGAGGAGGACACGCTGGTGATCTCCATTCCAGTGGTTCTGTTAGCTGAGACTGTGGATTGAGGGTGGTTGGGAGGGAGCTTTGGAGCAGAGGAGAAGAAGCCTGCTGTGGAGAGCTCAGGGGAGGAGCTGGTGGTGGCATCAGAGAGGCCAGCAGTGGTCTCCAGGGCTGAACTAGGCTCCTCAGGAGTGCTGGAGTGGGTCAGTTCTGTGGTCCAGGAGGAAGCTGTCTTGGTGACCATCTCTCTTGTCTGAGAGGATGTTGGTATTTGTGTAGAAACTATGCTGACCCCAGTGGTGGAGGGCATTCTCTCTTCAGCTGTGGTCACAGGAAGTTCTGAGGAGGCTGAGGTGGTAAAGTAGGTTTGGGGGAGAGAACTGGAATGTTCCACAGTGGACACTGCTGTGTCTGAAGATGCTGGACTTGAGTGGAGGCCTGAGGAGACCCAGGAGGTGGCTGATATTTCCTGTCCACCTGTAGTCTGACTTGGATTCAAAGTGCTCACAGGTGTTGATCCTGTGTTCATCCCCTGGGTGGTGTCGTGGAGAGTGGAGGTGAGGAGTGGGCTGGTGGATGCAAGGGAAGAAGGAGCAGGAGAAGGTGAGGCTGTGAGTCCAGCAGGTGTGGAGCTCCGTTGTGGCCCAGCTGGAGTTGGTGTGGAGGACAGGACTTCAGGGGATGAGGTTGATTGTAGGGTGCTGTGTGAGTGGGGCAGGGTCTGGGGTGCAGTAGTGAAGATGCTGGTGGCTGGGACCATGGATGATGAGTCCCAGGTACCTGTGCTGTGGGATGCAGATGCAGGAATCCGAGCATGGACAGTGGTGGTGAGTTCTGCAGAAGCTGCCTTGTAAGGGACAGAGGACATGCTGGCGATCTCCACTCCAGTAGTTCTGTGAGCAGTGACTGTGGATGGTATGAGTCTGGGAGGGAGCCTTGTAGCAGAGGAGAAGTCTGCACTGGAGAGCTCAGGGGAGGAGCTGGTGGTGGCATCAGAGACGCCTGCAGTGGTGTCCAGGGCTGAGCTGGGCTCCTCTGTTGTGCTGGTGTGGGTCAGTGCCTGGGTCCGGGAGGAAGCTGTCTGTGTGTCCATCTCTGTTGTCTTTGTAGAACTCTGTCCAGGTGTGGAACCTCTGGCGTCCCTAGTGGTGGAGGAGGTCCTCATCGCAGGTGTGGTTTCAGGAAGTTCTGAGATAGCAGAGATCATAAACTGAGTTGGGGGAATAGAACTGGAATGTTCCACAGTAGACCCTGTTATGTCTGAAGATGTTGGACTTGTGTGGAGGCTTGAGAAGACCTCAGAGGTGGCTGAGATGTGTTGTCCACCTGTAGTCTGACTTGGAGTCAAGGTGCTCACAGGTGTTGATCCTGTGTCCATCTGCTCAGTGGTGTTCTGGAGAGTGGAGGTGAGGAGTGGGGTGATGGATGCAGGGGAGGAAGGAGCAGGAGAAGGTGAGGCTGTGGGTCTTGCAGATTTTATGGCCCCTGTAGAGCTCAGATGTGGTGCAGCTGGAGTTGGTGTGGAGGACAGGACTTCAGGGGATGAGCTTGATTGCAGGGTGGTGTATGAGTGGGGCAGGGTCTGGGATGCAGTGGGGAGGGCACTGGTGGCTGTGGCTGTGGCTGAGGTGTCCCAGGCATGCGAGCTGTGAGATGCAGATGCAGGAAGCTGTGTGGAAATAGTGGTGGTGATTTCTGCCAATGCTGGCATGTAGGAGGAGGAAGATATCACACTCTTTTCCCATTCAGTGGTTTTGTGAGTCATGACTGTGGATGGAGGGATGCTGGGAGGGAGCTTTGGAGCAGAGGAGAGGACACTTGTACTGGATTGCTCAAGGGAGGAGCTGGTGGTGGCATCAGAGAGGCCAGCAGTGGTGTCCATGTTTGAGCTGGGCTCCTCAGGAGTGCTGGTGTGGGTCAGTGCTGTGGTCCAGGAGGAAGCTGTCTGGGTGGCCATCTCTCTTGTCTGAGAGGATGTTG